CAAGACATGGTCTGCACAGGGCCCTGGTTGCCAGCAAAAACATTCTCTGCACTGTTTTGCTGGCAGAAGAAGAAAGAATCCACACATCATGGTTTATCTATATGGAGAAGAGGACTGGAATTAATAATAGTAGAGTGGCTTCCTCAGTGGACGCTTCCTTCAGAGCCCACCAGTTAAAAAGTGACTATTCCTCCTGAATGGAGAAACCACTCGTGGAGTTCTTGCAGCACAATTACTTTGTCACAGGGTAAAGCTCTCTGTGTTTGCCCAAGGGAAGCATATCCCTTCCAACTGCTTCACCTCCCCTCCGTCACAAGGAACTGATGAAAGCTTGGGATGATGAGGAGGAGAAATTAGGATAAAGTAATGGAGAAAGAAAGGGGCTGTGACATGCATTTCTGGCAGAGGAGCAAGGAACTGCTTATGGCAAGAAAGAATATGTAAACAGAAGAAAACAAACACAAACATAACACAAGATTAACACAGAATGATTCTGTCCCCATGCAGTGCTGGTCGCGTGCTGAGCTGTGAGAGTTATGCCACTCGGCTTTCAACTCAGGCACCAAAAAACTCAGCTTTTGTACCTCATGGCCCAAAATTCAGTTCTAGACACACGTTTTACATCTGATGCAAGACAAAAATGAGGAAGGCACGCCAACTGAGAGGTGAGCAGATGGAAAGGTATTTCCTTAAAGTAGCTGTATTTCTTCAGACTAGGAGTACAACCCCATGGTACATGTACAGAGTGAAGAATGACCTCCTCTCCCCCAACTCACTGAACACTTTCAATGCATCCACCTTCAGAGGACACTGGCAGGCTCACTCTCACCCAAGCCTATGGCCATGAACCCTTTGCATTTAGCACTACGGTGCTACTACAAGCACTCCATATTAAAGAGCAGCTGCGGAACAGCATGGCTGTAGGGCACAGAAGGACTCTCCAGATAAACTTTTAATGGTGTAAACTCAGAGCAAATTTTGTTCCTCATGGAGATAAGAAGGATCATAGGGAACAGTTTTAATCACCTTCTGTCAGAATATGCTCCAAAACTCACTTTTATCAAGCCACTGTGACAAACTTTATTCTTAAAGACATAATCAAAACAGAGAGAGTACTCTCAAATCTCAGTTTACAAAATCTTCTGCTCTGAATGAGATGGACTAGACTCAAGAATTCAGGAACCTGAAACTCAGGGAAATTTGTTAGAAATTATTTTCCCCATAAACAAGACAGCTCTTCTTCAAAAGACTTAGGAACTCTAGGATTTTATTTTAAGGCCGTATTTGAAGAGTATTTCAAAGCACACGTTCCATATGGCTTTTAAGCCTGAATGTGTCTCCTATTAATAATTTGGGATCCTCAGCAGCTTTGGGGAGTTTTGTTTTATTTTAAGAAGCCTTTGCTGTTCACCTTTAAACACAGTTCATGTGCCCGCATCAACACGTAAGAAGATACCCTCAACCTTTTTGATTTATGTTTCTTCAATACATCAGCAAAAATTAAAGTGTGGCTAAGCCTCCCCTTTTATCTTGGCATAATTCATTTTTACACCATATCAACCTTCTCCAGGGCTGGATATTTACATATTAATAATGAAGTCTGCTTTTTAATTCCTCTCTCCATCCCTTTAGCTTCATATATTAAAAAGTGTCGATAGATAAGACTTGGCTCTCAAATTAGTGGTGGTAACAAAACAGAGTCCAAATTATTCAATTAAAACACAGAGACAGCTATGTTTACTGTCCTCCCACATTTGAGCTAAGCTGGGATTTCACTCAGGGAAATTGCCCTGCTCTGATTCTGATGGAGGAGTAGGTTTGATCATTTCCCCAAACTGGCTAAAACCATTTGTAAACAACGGTTTGAACATCTTAACTATTTCCTAGTTATTGACATTCCTATAAATACTCTGTGAAGTGCAAAGAGTCTGAGGATGCAGCTCCATAGTTTCTTTAAGCCAGTTTATGTGTGGGTTGCAGTCAGAATGAACAAGCGTGCCCTCTTCCACCCCATCATCTCTCCTTCACTCCATCATCTCTCCCCACTGTCCTCATTGTGTTGGAACTACTAGTCCTGCAGCTGCATGGTTAGCAGGGCCAAAGAGCCAATCCACCTACAAACTAATCCTCTCCCCTTTTTTTTTCCTGCCAGGTCATTTCCTACTGCACAGCTGCATAACCACTAGATTTAGCAGAATGAAACGTGGTGGGAACACATGGTTGCAAGGTGGGAAAAGACCACTCCTGACAGCAAGCTAGCACTTCAGTCAGCTCAGAGAAGCGATGAAACCATAGCATAAGAATCTGTTCCTGCAGCTTAGACTACAAAGCAGACATAGCTAAGCCAGCTTTAGACTGATGCATTTGAGTATTAGGGCAGAGAGCTCAGGCCAGGCTGACCGCCCAGGATGTACCCATGTTCATGGATAGTTTTCATCCACAGATAGAGGAAAAACATCAATACACAACTGCAATTCTTTCCAACTCGGCAAACAGCAGTGCTTCTCTTCTACAGGGCTTAAGGCAGCCCTCACCAACAGCCGAAGCAGCCTTTACACTAACATTGATGGAACCAGATCAAATCTGCAGTATGTGAAAATAGCAACAAACAGCAGCTGCTGTATTCCCCCCTGCACTGCTGTATTCCCCCCTGTGCTGCCCTGCTCCCACATTCTCATTATTTCATTCTATGTTTTTTGGTATCTCATAAAGCCCCAGTTCCTGGAATCAAATGGAAGAATAAAAGTATCTGCCTCATTTAAAGGAAAAACCAAATGTTATCCGATAGCTTTGCAGAGAAGTTTAGAGGTAGAGAAAAAGAGCAGATTAATTAGGACAATACTGCCCCCACAAAGAAACAAACAAACAAAAAAGAAATCCATCCCTACCTTTATGCCATCCTCATGTTTTTGTTTTTAAAATCTTAGGATTTTTAATTATTTATTATTTTAGTACTTAAAAAAAGATGCTTGCTCTGGAACTATTCCAAGAGACTGACAAAACATTAACACTAACAAAAAAGAAGCCAAATTTGCACTGATACCAGCAGTGCCCTAAAGAAGGAGGCTGTTACTGGAACGTGTACCATTTGTAATGACTGAATGTCTCCTTTTTCCTCACAGTATTTATTTGATACACAAAGCCAAGCTGTAAAATACACACTATAAGGCCACTACAAATGGCCACAGAAATACCATCTCTGAGATTCTGAGACTTCTGATGGAGGAGCTGCAGGGACCTGTACTGAGCTCAGAGTCTAAAAGACCCTTCACCGTGTACTGGCCTTCAGAAGGAAAGCAAAACAAGCACGTATACTCATGTTTGAGGAGAAATCATTGTAGATCAGTTTCTACTAGTGAAATGGGCTTGTTCTGCCCACAGCACAACAGCATCACATGCAACCTCTCAGAATCAGGTACAAGCTGCCTTTTGTACATACACCCTTTCTAAGTGAAAGAAGGACCTAGGAAAAAATTACATCATCAGTAGAGATTGTATCTCTTCCAGACAAACCAAATGCTGCTACACAGAAACTCAAAATTGTAAGAGTCACTTAAAAGAAAAAAAAAAACCCCAAGATAAAAGTTACTAACAAAACACTGGGTCTTCTTAATGACCTTGTGGTATTTGAGCCTCCCTCAATTGCATCAAGGTCACTTTTTTCCCCCCTAGATCCAGGAAAACTAGTAACTTCATTTCAGCAAAAGTAATTGTATTACCTAAGCCTTATCTGGCACTTTTTTATCTGTACCTCTCAAAAGAGGTCAATAGCACTATCTGCATACGATACCACTATTTGCATGAACTCCATCAGTAGCACACAAGTCACTTCAAAGCATAGACTGTCCAGTACCAAGCCAGTAGCTGCTGTCACCAACAGTGAACCCAGAAGAAAACATCTGTGAAACCTTGTTCTATGCTAAACCACAAAAACACCTCCTATCTAATCTACTGACTTGGGAATTTGAAGATTGTGCTATAATATCAACACTGAGAGTCTGGATTTTTTGTTCATTTTAACTACAGGAATTGTCAACAGCTGTATTATCTTACAGGTGTTCACTCAGCCTGACCCTGTTGTTCTTCCTCAGGCTACACCCCCACTGAAGCCAGTGGAAGCTTTGTCTTCTCAGCTGGGCCCTACATTAGCTAGATGAAAAGTTTTGCTGCCTCTGGCTGTACGGAGGTTAAAGATGGGCATCTGCCCTTTTGTTAGAAAATTGAGAAAATTGGACACACTCCTTTATGACCTTTCATATAAGGATATGAAAGGTCCACAGAATAGATCATAATTAGCTGTAAAAAACTGAGTACTGACAATAGCGATATGTTTATGTTTACCACCCACTTCTGACTGAGAGTCAGTTATACAGTCTGGATGTGCCCTCCCCACCCATTCCCTTCCATCCCCTGGCAAAAAAAAAAAAAAAAAAAAAAAACAAACAAACACAAAACCTTCCACGC